AAAAGCGCACTTATTAATACATGCCCCAACTGCTATAGTTTTTTAAGATGAGGGTGAATTTATTATTGTTTTTAACATAGTACATGTCTTCTGTAATGTTTTATATGTATATTTTTATTGTATTGTGTTGTTTATAATTTAATGTAGGAAATGGATAGATTATTGTGTTCGATCTTAGTACAACTATTTTTCGATTTAGAATTTATTTTATTTTAGTTTGATGGTTCTCATCTGACCTAGTTTTTAGTGAAATATTCTGCTTTTAGAGTACCWATAGAATTAAAAGCGGTATACTTATGGTTAACAAAAAAAAAAAGTAGTAAGAAATTTGTATTTATTAAATCATATTATAATATCTCTCCTATAGTTATTATAAATTTACCGTGTCAATATAATTTACAYTGTGACATTATGGTCGCACTGAATTGTCTCGATTCGTGTGGCGTCATCGCTATTTTAATATACAATTCGATATCATATTATATTAATGCGATGATTATTAACTCGATTTTTTGTCAATCGACAGGCGATCAGTATGTATTGGAAACGATGTACGAACACAAATTCGACCGGAGTGCATATCAAATGGTCGTGGGCCCTTTTGGCGGCGGGTTGGGCAACAGAGATTTCGTGTGCGTCATGTCACTGGACGGCGCCGTCACGGTATACGAACAACAGGCTTTCGGTTTTCGCACGRTGTTGCCCAATTACCTGCACCCGTTTCCCATCAAGTACGTCCGATCCGTTGACGCATTTATCACTCTCAACTCTGACCTATGCTTGGTCTGTTACAAGTGAGTAAATGTCTAACTTTGTGTGGCTTACTGCATAATATCTAACGAGATAAATGCTCACTCGTCCATCGGGTGTACAACTTTAGGCACTACAAATGACGATCGTCCATAATTTATTCGCTAATGCGGGTGCCGTGCGTATAGCTCATCGACTTTTGTGTCGAACTTTTGGTAGAACGTACACAACGCAGAGGCGTAGCCAGGTTTTTTTGTAGGGGAGGAGGAGCTGATAATGTGTTTACAAAGAGTTAGTTTAGCTAGGGTCCTCATAAGTTTTGCATACTGCAGAAATTGAGGTTTTATTAAATTAKATTTATATGATRTTCGGTGTCCGAACCGTAATACACATTTGTATATTTGCAGTAACTTTCATTGACCACAGAAATAATATTTTAAATTTCTTAAAATTTTGAAGGGGGAGGCCTTAGTCACCAACAYCAYTCTAGCGACGCTACTACTGAATTACAACATTGTGTATGGGTTGTAGCCTATAGGACTGCTGCAGGTACCTGACAAACCGCCTAAAATAATAATAAATAATATTAATATTATATATACGTTGTGCCACACGTTTGTATTGTTATTGCGTCGTTGTTTAGTGTTTACTCTGTTGAATAAACTGCTGCAATATTAAATTCCTAATGGAGCAGTAAAGAAATATAAGTTTTCGAATTTCTTTCTTGACGATTTTTGAATCGATGACAATATCCGAGTAGCAATGTATAAGCAAATATTATGACTGGCTAGCTGCGATGTGATAAAATCTTAACCATGTTTTTTTTTAGGATAAAATTGCGCTCTACTTCTCATTTTTTTTTGAATGCGATATTTTTTTATTATTATTTTCATTGATTTCAAATAATACAAACGTCTTTACGATCTTGCTGCACCCATCAAACTCTTGGGAGCATCTCCACATTAAAAAAAATCTTTTTAAGATTTTAAATTATTTTAATGAACTTTTTAAAAGTTAATATAAAAAATTCTAATTGTTATTAKAAATATTTTTAAATATTCTGTGGAAATAAATAATCGATTTAAAAGAGTATACTTTAAAACAAAGTCAATGGTAAATAATAAATGCGAATAATTGTTACTGTTACTGTCAAGAATTTATTGTCTTGAAAATATTTTTTCTCGAGTAATT